GCCGCAGGGCTTCACGCAGTCAGCCTACAAGCTCGCGCGGCCCGACCCAGCTGATCCACCAGTGGCTCCTCCGCCCGAGGTCGACGTCACGAAGATCACCATGGTCCACAGACGCTCGGCGACCGAGTTCAAGGGTAAGGCCAGCTCCAAGTCAAGCACGCCATCGCCTGCCAGCTCGAGCGATCAGCCGCAATGCTTGCAGCTGGCGCTTCCCCCGAGTGCCCCGCGGCCTCAGCAACCGACCTGTCCCTTGCAGCTCTTGGCGGGCTTGGCCACTCAGGCGTTCGGCAACGGGGCTGCTGATGCGCTTGCGCCCCTGATGCAGCAGTTCGGCATGCAGTTCCAGCCGCACCACTTTCAGCGCGCCAACATGCTGCCGTACTCGAGCACGCACCTCCCGCCAGCGCAGGCACTTGCAGGTGCCCCACGCGACGGCGCAGGAGCGGCTGCCGCTGCTGCCGAGGCGGGAGGCATCCCTGATACGGCGCCCACGCAGTCGAAGGCAGCCGACGCCGATGATGGCGACGAGGCTGCAACCCCCGAGGACGAGCTCGAGGCGCTCGAGTCGAGCATGCTGGCGGTCGCTAGGGCCGAGAAGAAGAGGGACGCGGAGGTTGCCAAGGGGTCCTGCTCCAAGGAAAAGAAGGCCACGGCCAAGGCCAAGGCCAAGGCCAAGGCCAAGGCCACGGCCAAGGCCAAGGCCAAGGCCAAGGCCGCGGCAGCTCCTGCTGAAGGCGACCCGTTGGGCGGCGAAGGGCCACAAGCTCATGGGCGAGAGGGGTTGGCGAAGGCTGCGGGGGGGAGCGAAGGAGCATGGCTGACGCCATCGGCCTGCCTCCCACTGAAGCCTCCACCATCCCATCCCGTCCATCGGCTCCGCCCCCGTCGCCCCCCTCGGCGTCTACGAGGCAAGCTGCCGAAAGTCGACTCCTCCCCGCGGCTGAAGCTGGTGGACGCCGAGGGCACCACCCGCGGAGCCTTCACCAGCAAGGCCCACGACAGCACGAAGAGGCTCGCAGACAAGATTGGGCATTCCTACGCCGACAGTGTGACGCTGGCCCGCGAGGCATATGCGGCGGCTGCCGAAGTTTGGGCAAAGGCGAACAAGAAGTAGGGCCCCGTGTACAGTGGAGCCTTCTTTTGACCATCGCCTCCCAAGCGATGCGAGCGAGCCGCCGAGTGCCTGTCGAGGAGTTGCGCGTCATACATCAGGGGTGCAGGTGCACATACGGCACGACTCCGCAAGCTCAGGCACGCAGCAAACCACCGCACGTATGTTAGACACGTGCGTAAACAGATGCGCGGGGAGGCACTCAGACCATCGCCCTGCAATCGCGAGTGTGCAGCCAAGTATCCTCACCCTCATCATCATCAGCAACATCACGATCACCATCATCAGCATCACCACCAACATAAACGGCACCCCGATCAAAACACCACAACACATTACCATCGCAACCAACACTCGCATCAGCAACCACAACTCGATCACAACTGCATGGTCACCCCAAGATGGCTCCAAGATGGCCCAAGATGGAAATGAAAAAAGGGAGGGGGCATGATGGGGGGTGGGCTCCAAGACGGCTCCAAGATGGCTCCAAGAAACTGCGATGTTGAACGCATTGCCCCTCCACCCACCCCGTCAATCCTCAATCCAATATCAACCCTCCCACCCACCCCCCCTATCCCAATCAAAGTTCGAACGGGCATTGCCGTTGTCGCCCCGACAATTCTGGCATGATGACACTCGGCACACAATGCGCTGTCCCAAGTTGCGAGTCGGTTCCGTTATATAGCCGTTTTGGCTCGTCGCGATGAGCGACGCCAAGCGGATTAAGCTTGCACACCTTGGCCGCGACGCTCATGTGAGCGCCAGCGGTTTAGAACACAGTCTCAAGCAGCTTCGGGATGGTGGTGGTATGCTTCCCACTGCGTTCTCCACGTCAACACAGAGACGGGCGAGGCAAGCAATCGCGTTCCAGAGCACCACGTTCGGGAAACTGGTTCAATTTCGGTCTGTGTCCCACAAGAAGGTCGGAGCCCCTCCTGTCGAGCTGGTCTTCCAACATCCGTTTGCATTCTTGGAGGCAGCGTGCAAGGTGTCTGATGAGTTTCGGTCCATCTTGACGCGCACATTGAACGCGTCCAACAACCGTGTCTCGATCATTCTGTACACGGATGAGATTACCCCTGGGCAGGCTTTGCAGCCGCACCACACCAGGAAAGTCCAGGCAGTATATTGGAGCCTGAAAGAGTTCGGGTTCCCGATCTTGAGCTGCGAGATTGCGTGGATGACTATATGTGCGCCGAGGTCAGACACTGTTGCGGAGCTCCCTGGTGGTATGGCCGAGCTTTTTCGGCATGCAGTAAAGTTTTTCGTCGGGGGGCCGAATGGCCCCGATTTGAGGCACGGCATCTCGTTGTCCATCGAGGGGGAGAACTGCCCCCGTCTCGTGACAGGACGCGTGGCTATGCTCGTGCAAGACGAGCGCGGCCACAAGTTCTCCATGGTGTGAAAGGCTCTGGCGGGCTGAAATTATGCGCCCTTTGCAAAAACATTGCAGCGTTCAAGAGCACGTACCTTCCAGATCCGACTGGGTTTCTCATTCCTTCGACGTCGCTCGACGTCTCCTCGTTCAGACTGCATTCCGATGAAGGTGTCAAGGCGATACAGAAGAGATTGCACGATGTTGCCACACACAGACCGAAGAGTGAGTTAGAGTCTTTGGAAACGTTGCTCGGCTTCAACTACATCCCGACTGGTTTGCTGCAAGACGCAGATGTGGACTACGACTTGCCAAGCACCTGGTGTTATGATTGGATGCACTGCTATTGTATCGATGGCACGCTCGCAAAGGAGGCAACAACCTTCATTGAGCGGCTGGGTGACCATGGATTGGGAGGTGATGCTGTCGACAAGTATCTGCAAATGTGGCGGTGGCCTAACGCATATGCTCATGCCCGACCCGTGTGCCGTAAACATGCCAATCATTCGCCGAGCGGGTCGGCTTCAGAGCTGCTATCTTTCTACCCTGTGATGGTGCAGTACATCCGAGGCGTTGTGCTCAAGAAGGGTGTGTGCGCCGAGGAATCGGCAAGCTTTCTCGCTCTGGCTCGCGTGATGGAGTTGCTGGGCATTGCCAACGGCGGCGACGTTCGCGCCGATGACCTCGCCACTGCCATCCACGACCACCTGGTGAAGCACCAGGCTGCGTACGGGTTCACACTGTGGAAGGCGAAAGAGCACTACGTCCAGCATATACCGAGCCATCTTGAGCTCCACGGTATGATTGTTTCGACCTTCTTGCACGAACGCAAACATCGCGTTCTGAAGAGGGTAATGACCCCTCGGCATGGTTTGACAGCGTTTGACCGTGCGGTTTTAGAGGAGGTCACAGTTCAACACCTTTACGATTTAGGCCGCCACTCCATCGAGAAACCGACGCTGATTAATTTAAAGAAGCCTTCAGCGAGGGCACTGAGTGCATTTTTGAAGGCCTTCCCTTTTGGCAATGACTTAGACGTTCTATTCGCAAACAGTGCATATGCTCAAGGTAGGGTTGTTCAGACGAGGGACGTCTGCGCGGTGTTAGGAGAGAACGGGTTTGTTTGGTTTGGCATGGTGCAGGCTTTTTGCGCCGTGGGCACGTGGTTCGGATGCGTTGTTTCACCATGGGCAATTCTAAGTTCGGATGGGGAGTCCGTGCGATGCAGGGTACAGAATCACGGGATTTTGACTCAGTTGCTTTGCGTGCAAGAGCCTTGTGCGTTTCAGAATGCTTCCGCAGGGGAGATTTCGAGAATCATCCTGTCACCGAAGTTTAAGCATTCGAATGCGAGGAGATTGGTTGACGTGTCGTCTTGACTCGTAGAGTTGTCATGCAGAGAGGAGAAGTTAAGCATGGGTTTCCGCCCACTCCGCCGCGTAGCAACACAAACAAACAACCTTCCTCCTCCTCCTCCTCCTCCTCCTCCTCCTCCACTCCTCCTCCTCCTCCCTCCCCCCCTCCTCTCCCTCCTCCTCCTCCTCCTCCTCCTCCTTCTCCTCCTCCTCCTCCTTTTCCTCCCTTCTCCTCCTCCTCTCCTCCTTCTCCTCCTGAGGCGGCTTCCTCGAGGCCCTGTCTGCAGGACCTCATTGAGGGTCTCCCGTCCCGCGAGGTCTCTCTGCAGGACCTCTTGAGGCCTCTTTGGGTCTGGATTGGGCCCTCTTTGGATCTCTGCTTGGCCTTGTTAGGGCTGACGCCCCACCGCCAACCTGAATATGACGATATACGCTGGTTGTTTTTTTCAGGGCTGACGCCCCCTCCGCCGCATTGCGATTTCCCCGCAAACAATGAGACTATAACGTTGGGAAACCCAGGGATCTGAAGCCCAACGTGGGCCGCGAACCACTTACCCAGCTTGCGTAACCTACTTCGTAACCTGGTTAGAAACACCTTCTAACTTTGAGGTGTTAACCTCGTTTTCGGAACCAAGCTAACTGGTTAGTAACCAAATCTAAGAGGACCAAACGCTTCGTAACCACAGTGGCGCCCCCAGTGGGGCCTTGGAACGGCCCCCGAAGCTAGAGGCCTCCTAGATGGGGTCGAAGTAGATGGGGTCGGAGGATCGCGCCGCATCGCCGATACATCAACGATGCATCGGCGATGTATCAGCGATGCATCGGCGATGCACCGGCGATGCATCGTCGACGTGGGCGATGCATCGGCGAAGTCGACGTGAAGCAAGTCGAACTCCACATCGAGAAGCATCGCCCATGCATCGTCGATGCGGCGCGATCCTTTTGCACAGCGCGAGCACGCCTGGGGTACGCGTCGGTCGGAAGAGAAGGATAGAAATATGAAATAGAATGGGCTTCCGCGCGCCCCTTGAAGAGGAGTGAAGACGGAAAACGGCTCGACTCTTGAAGTCGGAAGGCGACTAGAGCAAATTGGGATCTGGGGATCCAAGAACACCTGGTTCCAAGAACCGGCATGGATCCTCTCCTCCTCCCTCGCAGCGCCCGCCTGGAAGACGACCACGTCGGAGGCCAGCCGCCGCACCAGCCTGCGGAAGCGGCGCCCGGGCGCTGGCGCCAGGGTCAGGCACGCCGCGTGCAGTGCGCCCACGGCCGCCGCGGCCAGCTGCGGCGCCTGGTCGGCCTGGACCTGCCAGGCGCGCGGGGCGGAGGCCGCTGGAGGCCGGCCATTCCCCACCACACCGCCAGAGGCCTCCCAGATGGGTTCCGAGCAGCTGGGGTCGGCGCATCGTGCCGCATCGCCACTGCATGGGGTGACGTCGGCGGTGCATCGGCGACGCCTGCGTGGAGAACGTGGGGCTCCACATCGCGCCGCATCGCCGACGCATCGGCGATGTGGCGCGATCCCATCTACTAGAGACTTACAGAGCCTCCCCTCGATATACATATATATATATATATAAAGAGATGTACGTATATATATACACACACGCACGCACGCACGCGCGCGCGCACGCACGCACGCACGCACACGCACGCACACGCACGCACGCACACGCACACACACACACACACACGCACACACACACACACACACAGTTCAAAACAAACAAAAATCAACAAAAACAAAAACAAGCAAAACAATAAATCAAAAAAAACGACACACCAAAACAAAAAAGGAATAAACCACCAAGAAAAACAAAAAACAACGACAAATAAAAACGAAAAAACAAAAAACAACAACAACAAAAAAAAAAAAAACTAAAAACAAAACAACAAAAAAAACAAAAAAAACGGGCAGCTTCTGCGCCAGCTTTCGGCCTCTGGGGACCCCCGCTGGACCCTGGGGCTGTCAGGAACGACTCGGGCCGAGCAGCAGGCCGCCGGAGGCCGCCGGAGGCCGCCGATGAGCCGACGGCCGGCCATCTGTCGGAATCGTCCAAGAGGGAGGCGTCCACGAGGGGGGGTGCAAATCATGACCAGCGGCATGTGCGCGGCCCTGCTCCTCCTCCTCCTCCTCCTCCTCCTCCTCCTCCTCCTCCTCCTCTCCTCCTCCTCCTCCTCCTCCTCCTCCTCCTCCTCCTCTCCTCCTCCTCCTCCTCCTCCTCCTCCTCCTCCTCCTCCTCCTCCTCCTCCTCCTCCTCCTCCTCCTCCTCCTCCTCCTCCTCCTCACCCGAGGGGGGGGGGGCGGGGACGCATTGAAACAAGAAGAGGCGCCAGGAGATCTGGGGAGGAATCATGGCCCACGCCATGGTATCCACCCCCCCCTGGTCCTCACCCCCCTCTCTGCCGCCCCCGAATCTGCGGGGCCTGCCGGGGCGCGGGGCGGCCGGGTCCATCCTTTGCTGAACAGTGTCCTGCGCGGGGGGGCCGCCGCTGGCCGGCCATCCCCAGATCTCGGGACGCTGTGATACCTTCGACTCGGGGCGGCTCTCTTAGACTTCGGCCTCCGGGGACAGTCTTCGGGGCCCGGGGCCATCAGAACTGGATCCGTGGCGGTCGGGACCTCTCGAGCCGCGGATTGACAGGGTCATATCGGCGGTTGCCAGGGTCTGCGGGGCCTGCTGGACGCGGGGCGGCCGCGAGGCGAACAGCCGCACCCGGAACGGCGCCGAGCTCCTCGGTGGAAGAGCGCCAGCCAAGCACCCACCAGCCAGGACCATCCGAGGCCCAGGATGCGAGGTGCAACGATAGGGGGGACCAGCTCGGGGGGGGGGAGACATCCATCGATAGGGGGTCACATGCGAACCCTACCCCTGCCCCCCACGATTTCTGAGGGGGAGGGTGGGGATCACTTCGTTTGGGAGCTCCCGAGCGAGGTGAACCCCACCCTCCCCCTCAGAAATCGTGGGGGCAGGGGTAGGGTTCGCATGCGGCCCCCTAATGGAGCTGCAATCGGGGATACATTTCCGATGCATCGGCGATTGCTAGGCCCCCGTTGACGAATCCCCGCGTTCCTGGGCGGGGTGGGGCTATCGGGCCTCTATCGGCGAAGAATGGGCGAGGGGGGGCCAATGCTCACCCCACTGAGCCTTTACCCCCCTAGCGTTGCCCCTGAAGATGGGCCTGGCCGGGCTCAGCGTGGGTGCGCAGTTGGCACCCTCTGGCCTCGCGTCGCCGCCGTGGGCGGTCGGGCCCGTGCCGAAGCAGAACGCGGCGAGCAGGTACTCTGCCCGCGGCTCCAGGCTGGCCTGAATGGCCCGCCTCGCCATGACGTCCGCGCCGAAGAAATTGCCCCCGACCACCTCGCCCACAGTGCCGTCGCCCTTCAGGCGGAAAAGCAGCAGGCTGACGTCTCCGGGCTTGTAGCTCTTCTTCCGGTCCTCGCGGCACCACGACCCCCTCTTGGTGGGCTGCAGCGCCATGGCTAGAGGAACAAAAACCCGGCATGAACAAAAACGTTTGGAGCCCCGCGCGGATATCTTGGATCGGCGCTGAAGCCCCCTCCCTGGCGCGCGGAGCGCGCCAGGGGCGGCGCTGCCAGGGCACGCCAGCGCCGATCCAAGAAACCCGCGCGGAGCTCCGAAAGCTGTGTCTATGCACAGTGCTTTCTTCTTCGAATGGCGTAGAGCGTCGTGGCCTCGTCGCACTGGACCCTGTACATGTGCCGACACAGCCGCGAGCCCGAGGCCCTGGCGCAGAAGGCCGTCTCGAAGCTCTGGGAGTGCCAGCCGCGGTGCGCCATGCACACGTCCACGACTTGGAAGGCCATCAGGAAGTGCGTGTAGTCCATCCAGAAGGTTCCGTCGTCGACGCCCGTCCGGCCGAGGACTGCTGCCAGACCTCGAAGAGAGGGGGGAAATATACACCCCGCGAAATGCTTAAGAAATCATGGGTTAAGAAATTCATAGTCTCAGAACTTGAGTAATAACCCAACATTCCAATTAAACTCTTAAGATTTACATTGAAACGTTAAAAATAATCGAGACTCTGGCCGAAAACTTAGGTTTTCTTAAGCATCGCCTAAGGTGTACAAAACATCAACTTTCGAAGGTCCGCGCGGATTTCGCGGGTCGGCGCTGGGCCCCCCGGACGGCGTCTCCAGCGCCGCCCGCGGCGCGCTCCGCGCGCCGTGGCGGGGGGTCCAGCGCCGATCCAGGGGATTCGCGCGGAGCTCCAAAGGTTTATGCTCATATCGGCGTTGGACAGACCTCTCTTTCGTAAACCTCCCCGTAGTGAAAACGGCCTGGGACCGAAAGCGACGGACCTGGACCCGCAAAAATGACGGCCGCGACGCCCTCTCGCGAACCGAGAACGGCCAATTCCTTAATCGACGTGTCAGGGTAGGAGGTCTGTCCACCCCCGATTGCGTCTGCGGAGACCCTCCGTCCACTCGGCGCTCCTGTCGCTCCACTCGCCGTTCCACTCGCCCACGCCGTGCGGGTTGCGGATGCGCAGGAGCCGCACGGCGCCGTCCTCGCGGGCTCCACCGTACCCTTCGGGCCTGCCGGCGAAGCGGGCGTCGAAGATCTCGCGGACGTCGAGGATGCTGTAGGCGTGGTTCCCGCACAGGCCAACCTCGCGGAGCTCTGGGTTCCCTACCGTGGCGCAGCCCATGGGGAACTCCTTGCCCTTGAACGCCACGAGCCGGTGCCAGAGCTCCTGCGGGTCGAAGCCGTGCTCGTCGAAGTCGATCGACTCGGTGGGGCAGCCCGTGAGGTCCAGCAGCGCCTCCGAGATCTCCCCGCCGCTGATGGCCTTGTAGGAGCCGTGCGCTCTACGAAGGAGAAAAAATTGCACACGCACAGACGTTCGGAGGTCCGCGCTGACGTCTCAGAGCGGCGCGCCAAGACGCACTTCAGGGCCTCCGGCATTGCTGGAGACTTTGGGAAAGACTGCAGAACTTCCCTACGTGAGAAGCAACGGAAGCTAGAGTAATTCTGGAGCACCAGCAGGCTAATGCGTGACACAAATCTCGCCGGAACTTTTAGCAACAAGAGAACGGTTGACAGTTCACTGCCCCACCCTCCCTGATGCGCGGGGCGCGCCAGGGGCGGCGCTGGGGGCCCATCGCAGATCCAAGAAATCCGCGCGAGCCTCCGCGCGTGTATGTTCACGCCATTGTTTCTTCTTCGAGCTTTGGCGTAAGCCTTCTCCACCAGCGCGGACCACAGCTGCTGGCCGTCTGCGCGGCTGTACGCGATGCTGGTGCCGTCTGGTCGCCGCTGCTGACTGGTGCAGGGTAGGCGGTCGTCCACCAGGACTGCCTGCCAGCACCCGTCCAGGAACAACTGGATTTGGTAGCAGCCGGCGGCGTTCCTGGCCGTTTCGCCCCCGAACAGGCGCAGGATCAGGTCGGGCCGCTCCGCGACCACAGCGAGCGCGGACATGAACCAGCAGTCTCCGACGCCGCCCTGCCTAAGGTCTTCGGCACGGAACCCGAAGTCGCTGACGATGACGAACTCTGGGAACCGCTGCCACCACATGCTGGCATCCCGCCTGGCCTCTGGAAGAAAAAACTGCATAAACCGAAAATTTCGAAGGGCCGCGCGGATTTCGCGGATCGCCTGGACTCCCCTCCCTGCCGCTGGAGGCGCCGCCAGGGGGGTCCTGCGCCGACCCGAGAGATCCGCGCGGAGCTCCAAATGATTCTGTCAATTAGTGGCCTCCCAGATGGATTCGGAGTAGATGGGATCGGAGGATCGCGCCGCATCGCCGATACATCGGCGATGCATCGGCGATGCATCGGCGACGCATCGGTAATGCATCGGTGATGCACTGGCGACGTCGACTTGAAGCAGATCGGGCCCCACATGAAGCCGCATCGGCGCATCGGCGATGCATCGGCGATGTGGCGCGGTCCTCCGACCCCACCTGGGAGGCCTAAGAGCCCATGCCGTCTTCGAGCCTCCGCGTCGGCCCACGTGAAGAAGCCGCAGCGGCGGGCGGCGCAGTGCCAGTAGGGCCGGTCCTTCGTGGGGCCCTCTTTGCGCACGTTGCTCTTCCGAGACGGCGCACCGCACCTGCAGCGCGGCGGCGTGTCGCCGGAGGGCGCGCGCCCAGCTGACGACGACGCCGCGGCGCTGCTGCCAGAGATGGACCGCGGCGCGGCGGGGAACTCCAGGTCCTGAGGGCGATAGGGCGTCACGTTGGAGACCCTGGGTTTTCCGACGTTCTTGTCGGTTCTCGGCAGTTTTCCAGCCTCGGGATGCTTTCCAGCAGCTGCGCCTTGCCGAGGAGCATTCTGGAGGTTCCCGAAACGTCCCGAACGGCCGAAGGAGAGCCGAGCTATGACCCAAAAAACCCGGAGCACCAGCTCAGGAGGGGGGAAGCATCGAGCTGGAATCGGCGATGCATCGCCGATAGATCGACGATACAGAGGAGGCCAGTCCACAAGAAACTTTCCACAAGAAACCCAACCCTTAGACCCCAGAAACGCCCATCAATTTTTGGTGAGGGAACGTCACGCTTTCCATCGCAAAACCATCGAAACCCGCGAAACCCAGGGCACCCAGTGTCGGGTGTTGCTAGAAGTGCCCCTGGCCCGAGGTGCCCCAAGCTTTTCGTTCCATATTGGAGCCCCGGAGGCCCTCTGGGCCTCGTGAGGGGTGCCCCGGAGGCCGTCTGGGCCACCCCGAGATTCCCGGGGGTACCTTGGGCCAGGGGTACTTCTAGAGGCAAGCAGGGTGTTTCGTGGCATGGGGCGGACGCGGGCTGTCGAGCTCCTTGGTTCGGCCGATGCGCCCCCCCCCCAGAGCCCATCCCAGCCCACGGCGGCTCCCGGGCCGCACCTCGGGCCGCACCGGCCACTCCGGGCACCCCCGGCGACGCTGGCGGCGAGGCGGCGCTGCTGGAGGGAGCACCCCCACGAGGTCGGAGCACCGCCCGAGGACCGTCGAGGACGCCCGAAGATAGACGAGCGCGTTCCACTGCTCGCAGAGAAAACTGCTCGCAGCTGGCCCGGACCCGCCGCGAGGCATCCGCGATCCCTCGCGTCGAGGCGGGCACGTGACCTCCGGGCGTCTGCGAGCAGGCGCCTCCCTGCGAGCCGTGGAGCGCGCTCGGCGAGGAGGCCCCGAGCCACCGCCGGCCCCCGAGGTCCTCGTACGGGGCCGCGGCCGTGCCGCGCCCCAGGATCCCGCGCCACTCGCGCCGCGCCGCCTCGAGGTGGGGGCTCCTCGCGGCGTCGTCGCCCTCCACGCGCAGCCAGCCCGCCGAGCCGCCCCGCGCGGGCGCCGCCGGGGCCGCGGCGGCGCCCCCGAGGGGGCGGCCCCACCGCCGCTGCGGCGCGGAGGGCCCCGTCGGCACGCCCCTGGCCTTGGAGGATCGTTTGCCGCGGGCTTGCGTCTCGTCGGCCCCGGCGCGGACTCCTGACACCACGGGGATCGTTCCCCCTCGAGCGATCGGCCGTCTCCGACGCGTCGAGTCGTTCAACGTCGACCAGTTCTGGGTCGCCGGCGGCGGAATCGCCACCGGTCGACACGACGCGAACGTACGGTAAACGATCCCTGTCCCCACTGGCATGGTCTTGGCCCCACTGGCCGACCCACCCCCTAGGTGGGATGTATGTTGTTCGCCTCGCGCGATCTATCTCCATCTGGATGGGCGACCTGGTGGGGCGGAGACACCCTGGCCCAGTGGGGATAGGGATCGGCTAGACGATGCTGCTCTAGACGATGCTGGTCCTTGGAGGCGTAGAAGGACACGCTCTCCAGGTGCACACAGGTGGCGTCGATCGACGGGTCGGCGGGGCCATCGGTGCCCATCGCCGCCGTGGCCTGCAGGGCATCGCGGCAGCTTCAGCTGTCAACGGCTGCGGCCGCGGCCAGACGAGCACAGTGGGCAAGCCCCAAGGGGGTTCCCTCCGCCCGCTCGATTCCCGTCATCCCTGTCAGCCTTTGGTCTCTAGCTTGGGCGTGGTTTTCGATGGCCTGCATGTTCGATGGAGCACTCCCGCCCTCGGTCTGTGCCGATTTTGAAATGTTCATTGACGCCGCGGAACGTGTTCCGAGATGGGGTCATTGGTATGCCTCCCCACCTTCATGACGCCGCTTCGTGTATCCCCGCCAGCCCATCCAGCAACGGTGCCTGGCCGAATTGCATCGATCAGGGGAAAGCAGGGGGCACGCAAAGGAACCCAGACGGGAGGGAGCCGTCAAACCGAATCCGGATCAGCCCGAGTAGGCCCAGGAGGCAACCATAAGACAATGCATTCGCGGATCTGTCGGCGTACTTGGGCCATCTCGGGGCCCTGGTGGGGCCAGCTTGGAGGCCTTTGGGGCTTTTCTTGGGGGCCTTGGGGGCGCTCTCGGGGCCATCTTGAGGGCCATTGGTTGAAGAAAGGGGTGGTGATCAACTACGGCTTCCCCCAGTCTGAGGCTGGCAAGTTGTTTCTTGGGGCCCTCTTTGGGCACTCTTGTGCCCTCTTGGGACCGTATTTGGGCCACTCCTGGGCCCCTCCTGGGGCTCTCTTGGGCATTCTTCGGGGATGGGCAGACCCCCCTTTAGTAAGACGTGGTTTAGTGAAAACGACCTGAGGCCCAAACCTGGCGGGCGCGAGCCTGGAAAATAACGGCCACGGCGCCCTCTCGAGAACCGAAAACGGACAATTCACTAATCAACGTGTCACTGTTGGGGGTTCTGTCCACCCCCGAATTCTGGAGTCATCCAGCTGCCATTGCAAGACCTAGCCTGCGGTCGAGCTCCTTCAGACAAAAGACAAAGCTCGCCCACTCAGGGATTGACGATGCTGCGCCGTGCAGGTCCAGGAATCCAAAACAACTGTTTCATTCCAAAAACCTTCCTCCGGACGGTTTCAAGAGGGCTTCTCCCTGAAAACCTTCCTAAAACCTTGCTGCAGAAGGTACATGGAGGGTGTAGGGAGGACTCTTCCCCCCCCCTGGGGAAGGTTTCAAGAGGGCTTCCTCCTAAAAACCTTCCTCAAACCTTCGTCAAGAAGGTTTCAGACAGGTTTCCTCTTAAAAACCTTCCAGGAACTTTCCTCTGGAAGATGTAAAGCTTTTTCGAAGATGCACCAAAAAAAACGTCCAAAAAAACGTCCAATAACCTTCCTCCGGGAGGTTTCGGGAGGGCCTCCCCATAAAAAACCTCCCTAAAAACCTCCTCTGGAAGGCTTTTCAATGTTTTTGAAGACTCCTCGTAAAAGATCCTCAAAAAACCTTCCTCAGGAAGGTTTCAAAAGGGCTTCCTCTTCCTCAGGAAGGTTTCAGGAAGGTTTGGGGGGATTCCTCCAACAAGCATTCCAAAAACCTTCCTCAGGAAGGTTTCGGGAAAGCCTCCTCCTAAAAACCTTCCTAAACCTTCCGTACAAAGGGCTCCTCAGGAAGGTTCCAGGAGGATTTCCACCTAAAAACCTGGAAGGTTTTTGTTCGAACTTTCGTCCAAAAACTTCCAACTAGCTCGACGAAGGCCCCAACCATACGCAGCTGCGAATACCGCGAGGGAGACGAAACGAAGGGAGGGGGGGCGCGCAATCTCCGAGTGGCTCTCATAGGCCGCGCGCCGCAGGAAGAACGAGGCGAGAGGCAGTGCAGGCAGAGGTGATAGGGGGGGAGCGGAGCGGGATAGTGGGCTGTCAGATTTAAGAGGCCCCAGGACGCACAAATAAATACATACAAATAAAAACATCCACCATATTTACCCATATTTTCTGGGTTTTTGTCTTCCCCCCCACTTCCCATATTTTCCCAGATTTTCCTAGGAATCGACGATTAGTTCTGTCTGTGTGCTTTTTCCCCTCCTGACAAATGTTTCCCCCTCTGTGTTCTCGCGCCCTGGTGACCGCAGTTCTCGGCAGAGCGTAACGCGGGGGCCTGGCGACGCGCGCCGGTTGCCCCGCAGGGATCACCTCGACCCCGACGTCGTACGTGTTCTGCTTCTCTGCGCTGCATTCCGTCCGAAACATGTGAGGGCCGGCATGGGCGCGGACGTATGCGGGAGGCGCCGCCGGGACACTCCCTCAGGGGCCACGAAACGTGTGAGTGTGTGCCGAAATGAATGGTGCGGACGCATGTGGACGCAGCCACTGGCGCCTTCGGTGGAGCTCCCTATGGACTCACAAATCGTGTGAGGTGTGCCGAAACGGGCGCGGGACGCATGCTGACGCAGCCACTGGGGCCTTCGGTGGAGGTCTCTATGGGGCCACGAACCATGTGAGGAGTGTGGCGAAATTGGCGCGGGACGCACGCAGACGCAGCCACTGGGGCCTTCAGTGGACCTCCCCACGAACCGTGTGAAGGGTACGCCGAAATGGTCGCGGGACGCATGTGAACGCAGCTACTGGGGCCTTCGGTGGAGGTCCCTATGGGCCAACGAACCGTACGAGGGGTGTCCCGAAGTGGGCGCGGGGCGCATGTGGACGCAGCAACTCGGTCCTTCGGTGGAGCTCTCTATGGGGCCACGAACCATGTGACCGGTGTGCTGAAATGGGCGCGGGACGCATGTGGGCGCAGCAGCTGGGGCCTTCGGTGGAGCTCCCTATGGGGTCACGAACCTAAAACCTTCACGGGAAGGTTTCAGGAGGGCTTCCTCCTAAAAGCCTTCCTCATCCACACGCAAGGGAATGGCTCGTAGCTGGCAACCATGGTGCCGCCACAGCTCCATCGCTATGCGATCGTAGCTCAGCCAACAAGCTCTTCGCACCTCATCAGCGCATTCCTTGGCTAGCTGAAACTCATTCGTGGTGGTTGCACCTCTGCGCGCTAATCACTCACTGCGTCCCCACAACCAACGAACTGCCTGCCCGCGTCGCGCAACGTACTGTCTGTAAGGGCTGCGGTGTCATGCTGTCTACACATCGCCAACTCACCATACACTTGCACTCGTCTTATGTTGGCGCAGTGCTGGAAAATCCGCCGACCCTGTCGGCGTGTGTGAGGGGCTTGTCCGTTCGAATCGTCGTCTTCGTCATTCGTTGGTCGTCGTCTCTGTCGTCCCCTTTCCCTGCCCACACCTTCCCCTGGGCCAGTCGCCGCTCCTCCCCCCCGTTCCGTAGGCCCTCCTCGTCAAGCGCTGGGCCCGCCTCCTCCGCAAGCGCGCCAGCCAAAGCGAAATTTAGCAACGTCGTACTGAACTCAAAAGGAAGCCCCTTCCCTTTGA